ATCACTTTTTTAAAGGTAGAAAAGGCAAAAAAAGGCAAATATCTTAAAAAAGGCAAAGAAAGGCAAATATCTTAAAAAAGGCAACATCAAATTTGTATATATGGAATCAGGGAAAGCTAAATCGTGGACATTCTTAATCGAATATACTCTATCTCTTTAGCAGAAAAAAAGGCAATTTCCATAAAATCCGTTCCCTGTTTATAACCTAATCGCAGCGTATGTATGTAAATACATACATACATACGTACATATGTAAGTTGATTGCAGTTAATGTGGATCTGTTTTTCTTTTAGTAATCTATATCACGGTGTCCTTGAACCAGATTCAACTGAATCGGTCTGGAACGATGGAATTTCCGGTTAGACTATTTTAGGGGGGTGTTCCAGAGTTAGAATACGTGAAGTTCAAAATCATGGCATGTGCCGATTTCAAAAATGGTAACATTTTCGATCTTCAGGTAGGCTTTCATATATTTATATTGTATATTTACATATATACAAGTCGATTTTATACATATTTATACAAATATGTGCAGGCCCGACTATAGGGTGGGGCTGTTTCCCACGGGCCAAGTTTTTTTCTTAAATTTAGTTGGAGGATAAAAATTATAAAATTTTGTTAAATTTTATTACTTAATATTCACATAGCTTTTATAATAATATCCAATAAATGCGAAAGCGCTTGTCCAGATACACATGCAAGTGTGGTAAGGTCATTTCCGTGCTAGTCAAAACAACCGCCAATCTGGCCTAATGTGAAACATATAGTCTGTTCCAATAGCAGTCCGGTTCACAGGATTTAGTCAGAACTTACAGGAAGTCGTTCCTATTGACATAAAACCTGTAAGTGGGAACACATTTGAGAGAGTAACTGAGCAACTGTTCCTAGTCAGAAGTTACAGGATTTAGTCCGGAGTTTTTTTTCCTGTAAGTTCATGAAAAGTGTCAAACGATCAGCTGATTTGCATGTGCAAGCAAAAACAAACAGCGGTGAAAGCACTACACGCGCTCAACTTCGCTCCGGCTACTGCTGCAGGTTAAACTCCTACTTGAGTAGGCTGAATGAGGATGTGCCGAACGAATGTCCGGCATGCGGAGAGACCCCACATGACTCGAACCATCTCTTCGCATGCCCGGAAAACCCGACAACCCTAACGGCCCTGTCCCTGTGGACAGATCCCACAGAAGCTGCACGCTTCCTAGGGTTGCCGTTAGTGGAACTTGACGACAACGACTGAGATACCAACCGATCTGCGCGGGGTTGTTGTAGCCGCTAAAACAACAACAACAAGCGGTGAAAGCAAAGTACCTTATATTTGTAAAAAAAATGGAAGTAAACAACGAAATGTTTGAATATGTATAGATTTTAATAATTATTTAGTGATATTTCAGCTAAATCAGTGTTGTACAAATCACATGTAAACAAGCCGACTGACGTTTTTACAGGAAATAGTGCTTTTTGCGTTCCTATGCACTTCTGCATCTGTTCTCCTTTTACTCTCATTTGAGAGAGTAAAATTGTAGTTTCACAGTTCCACAGGTTTTAGTCCGAAGTTCAAAGGAACAGACTAATAGAAAGGTTCCGAAGTCAACACGTGTTGTCTAAATGGTGTCATCGTAATGATTTTCCCATGGTTCATTAATCATTTTGAGATCGAAATTGTAGAGCGACCTTCCAAGAGATTCGAGGTTATTTACAAAAAGGGAAAATCAGAAATCAATAGAAGGCGAGTTTCTTGCATACAGCCCCTCTGAGCTTAAAGGAACGCATTTCACTAAAACAATAAAAACTATTTTACGAATTCACTTGATCCGTACTACAGTATAGCAAAACAAATACTGCATTTAGACGAAGTTTTTCTATAAAAAAAGAACATTCTCCACGAAAATACTTGGTATTTTTCAAATGCACTGAAATAAGGATGTAGTGATAACGTTGAAAGTTCGTTTAAATATTTAAAAAAAATATTAGGATTTGAGGGGGGCCCGTCCCACCGGCTCCAGTCGATAATACAATTTTATATTATGAAATGAAAAATTTAATTTATAAAAGAACTTCTTCTTCTTCTTTTTTGGCGCTGTAACCGCCTAAGCGATT